ATAACAGTGGTCATCTTTCAATGGGATGAGTTTTCTAACTCAGTTGAAGAGCAAACCTAATAGTAAGACAAAAGGTCTTGAGGAGTAATGTAGCTTACTGTACTGTCTTGAAAGGCAAGGATCTGTTGAAGTGGGTCCAGAGAGACAAAGATGATCAGAGGGGTGGAATGCATCTTCTATGAAGACAGGCTGAGACACTTTGTGTGGTTCAGCCTGGAGGGAGACCTTATTGCAGCCTTCTAGTACCTAAAGGGGGCTTAAAAGAAAGATGAAGAGAGACTATGTAGTGTAGCAATAGGACAAGGGGTAAGGGTTTTAAACTAAAAGAGGGTAGATGCAGACTAAATGTAAAGAAGGAATGTTTTATGGTGAGGGTAGTGAAACACTGAACAAGTTGTCCAGAGAATTTGTGGGTTCCCCATTCTTGGAAACATTCAAGGCCAAGTTGGATGGGCCTCTAGAAAACCTAATCTGTTTGAAGATGTCCCTGCCTGTGGCAGGGGGTTTGGACTAGATGACCTTTAAAGGTCCCTTCAAACCATTTTATGATTCAATGACAGTGGATGGTTTTATGTGTTGTTTTGGAAATTTTCAACATCCATACATCTTTATGATTGAACTTCTTTGTACGAGACTATTTTTTTTTTTTGATCACTAAGCACTGTCAAATGTCAATGGTTAAAAAAAATTAATAATCTGGAGCTTTAACCTTACAGCTACACCTTTGAAGTGATTAATTTAATTCCTCTATCATAACTTGTTTCCTATATTCAATTCTTTTGGCAGGTATTATTGCATTTCAAATTCCAGTAAAGTTGTGATTATGAAAGAGAGTAGTGTTTTTTAAACTCGAGAAGCAATTTAATAACTTCCAGATGTAATTACAGTACCTCTTGATGAGCAAGTAATCTTAATTTTTAAAAACACTACTTGACGAGTATTTTCTTGTCTTCACTGAAATTATCATGCAGAAGCCAAAGACAAGTAAGTAAAACAGATACTTTATGACATGTAAGTAATGCACTTCAAAATTTTAACGGGGAAAGATACCTACTTTTATTTGAAAAAGAACAAACAACCCCCCCAGAAAATCCCACAAAACAACAAAAAACCAGAACCCCCACAAAACCCTTTTCTTTATGTTACCCATTACTTAGCATGAAATTTTGTATCCCTTAATATTTATTAGATTTATCCTTGTGCGCTGCAGAATCAGAATCAAACTTGCATTTTTTTTCTTTAAAGAAATCCTTCTTCCTCCTCTGGTATGGAAATAATTTTTTGAAACAATACAAGAGGTGAAAAAAGAAAAGAAAGAGGTCTCTACTTGCATCCAATCTAACAGAATTAACAGAATTTATATACAGATTTTCTGAAAAAACCGTAAGGAAGTTGAATATGACTCAGAGATCAGGTACTTGTACTCCTTTGAATAAAATAAAAAACAACTGATCAAAGATAACTGAGTAATCTTTGGTAGTACCTCCTGAATTCCTATTTGTATAGGCTAATAAATAGTGCTACACTACAAATGTTTCATATGCAAATGTCTTATATCTTGTGCAGAAGACAAGAAAGGGGAAATGAACTTTGAATGGATTGAAGTGGTTTGGTGTTGCAGAGCAATGTGTTGTTGTTTTAGCTCTATTCTTAAAATTATTAAAATGTGAGTAATTTTAATCCTGGAAGAATTAAAGAGGAAGAACACTGATAAGAGAAGTTATTAAATAATAAGAGAAAAAGCAGGGAATTAGAACTTGATGACTTGGTAAGGTTGAGGATTATCCCATTCTGAGGAGATCAGTTGTTCTTCGCTGAGTGATGACTGCCACGAGAATGGAGTGCATATTAACTTCTAGCTACTGCTCAGTACATCTAGGCATCTCTCACGTGTATTCATGAATAAATAACTGCTGTGTACTTCTGAACTTTGTATATACTGATTTGTGGAGTCTCTTGGCACCTGGTAGAAGTTGCTGAACAGAGTGACTCAGAGAAGGATGATTGTAGTGCTAACAGCAGAAAAAGAAGACTATGTGTAAGTAAGTATAGGAAAGCTTGAAAATACCCATAGGCAAGATTTTGTTCTAAATAAAAACACAGACCTAGTTAAAACCAAACCAAACCAACAAGGAAAACCATAATAAGAAAATAACCAAACTAAATGACCAAATAAACCAACCAACCAACCAAAAACCACCAAAAATCCTTCAAAACCAAACCCCTCGGGCACTCTTCTAGGATCAAATTTGGCCTAAGGCTTTTCAGGGGCAATTTCAATTTAGTGTTGTATGCTAATTATTTTCTTCTGCTAGATGTCTTTTTCAGCTTCATTAGTGCCCCAGTCTGCCTCATGTGTAAGTGTATGAATGCTTGTGCTGGCCCAGTATAGAGCAAGGAGTAAACCAGGAAAGTATTTATGCATGTGAGGTTAGAGCTAGAGAAACCACAGAGGACCATGCGAGTCAGGAGAGGAGGTAAGAAATAATGAAAACAGACCAGATTTTTTATCTTGACATATGGCTCTCTGGAGTGGTAGCTTTGTGGATTTCTGTACACAGAAGTACATCTGTGATGTTAGATGTGGACTTCTGGGAAATAAGATTGCATGCATTGTTATTATTATTATTATTATTCCTCATTGTGGAAGAAATATTATGGTCTTATTTTTATTATCTCATTTAGAAATACAATTATACTGTGTAATATGCCTGACTCAATATGTAATTTTGCTTTCTACTGCAAAGGAACAAGGTTTGCGCATTAGCTCTCTGAACTATAGGGAATAATACAGCTGAAAATCTACTAGGTGTAGTAGCAAAAGTGTTAGCTCTACTGCTTTGTACAGAAAAGACTGGGAACCTTGTAGATTTTAGTGATAGGAAGAGAAGAAAAACTGCATTAAAGAAAAATACATTTTTCAAAATATATATTGAAATCTATTGTTCCTATTGTATTCAGTGATTATACCCAAAACCAAGTATCTATGAAGGAGAACCAAACACCAGAGCGGGGGGTGAATATTAATGTCCAGAGGAAAACAAAGAAAATAAAGTACTACTTCCAGCTTGCTTAAATACCTTTTGAGTTTTAGTGCAGTACTTAAGACTTGTACTTGTTACCTTATTACCTTATGATAATGCTCGAAGAAGTTGCAATATGTGCTGTAAGTCAATGTCTGTTCTTAATATGCATTTTTGTTTCCTCTACTGTTACTTACTCTTTGTTGACATCAAATGGTAGTTAGCTCTGAGTGTAGTCAATACTCCTCTGAGAGTCAATATGACACATCATTTTGGGTTCTGTCAAGAATAGTGTGTATTCTGATGATTTTGAAAAATGTGTTGTCTTTATTCTTAGTCAAAGTAAAATTTATTTGAAAAATAAGCATATTTTGCACTTATTCACCTTTGTAAATAAAGGGAGTGAAAGTAAAGGAATAATTAATATCTTGCTTAGTCAGTTTGGAAATGGTGTCATTTACAGCAATGAGATGCCTAGATTGGTGATCTCAGAGAACATCTTTGTCAGTTAAAACAAAGCTGAGGAACAACCCTCTACAGAAAAAAAAAACCCCTTGCCCATGACAGATATCTCCAAATGTAAAACAAGCAAAAGATGAAAGGGACAGAGCACAGCAAAGGGCTGAAGAAAGCTCTTTATGTTAAAAAAATTATAGTAGAAGATGAGGATCTGAAGAGCAAAGAATCACTGTAATGTGCTGTAGTTAAATAACTGAAAAGGAAAAGGTAAGAAAAAATTAATTTGGCATCTTGCACAGGTACAAAGAGATGCTAGAATAATTTTAAAAAATAGAGAAGCTGCCTGACACTAAGTAAGCTGCTTCTGGGCATTTACAGAAGAGGAGCCACACACCACGCAATATTCAATGAAGCTGTGCAGCTAACAACTGAACATAATCCTGTTCATAATAATCTCAGCTAGTTTCCAGAAGACAATGGTACATTGAGAACTTATTAGAGAAATCATTTTAAAGACTAGCCATAAATATTGTACATTTTTATGGTTTTGGATATCTTTAAAAGGGCTCTCATTACAGTGATGAAAGACTTTGCTGGAGCAGGTGGCTTTCTGAGGAGATGGTTTAAAAATCAGATTTGGGTTAATAAGAAGCTTAATCCATAAAGGATTTGAAAAAATTAAATAATATAGATAAACTTTTCCAAAACAGATTCTTAATCCTGCTGAGGTAATTCTTCCTCTACCCTTTCCCAGGTCCAATTCAGTGTTCAGAGCTTTTGTTCTCTCAGGTTCTTAAATCTGTGATTTCTGTGTCTTCTTTTTCTCTAAATGATGCTTGCTATGCAACTAACACCCTGCTAGGCAAGCTTATCTATAAGTTTATGAAGTGAAACTTTGTGTGTATATATGTTTTACTGTGCTTCCTCCAAGGGCCTAAATCGATGGTCATTACCATGTGTTTGGATGGACAGTTATTAGACTGATGCCCTATTGCTGAAAATAATCTCCTTCTTTATAGCTCACACCAGTGAATCGCTATTCATCTAATTTAGGCCAAATATACAGATGTTTTCTGCTCCTTTGGACTGTAAGTACCATGTAGTATGTTGTGCTTATTTCCCAAAATAAGTTGCTCAGTGTTCCTTTCTGAGTGTCTTTTTGATAAAGAAGACATATTTAGGCATGAGAAACATTCCATAATGACTGCTATGTAGATCATGACAAAGATCTGGCAAAATAAGTATCCTCTACAAAATTAGTTTCTCACAGATATGACTATGAAGAAAATGTGTGAAATAATAGTGTGTGATTTCAATTCAGTGTGGCTTCATGAGTACAATAAATGCAAAAATACCACTCTTTCCCACACCTCTTTGAACTGAATTCTTTCACAACCTTGAATGGCTCAAGATGTAGTTGTAGTGGCAGAGGGTCAGTTAGCTAATGCTTTTTAAATATGTTTTCTCTTTTCCATGTGATGTTATTGTCATGACCTATAATTTAAATTGTCTTCACAGAATAGGTAAACCTGGAAGGGACTGCAGAGGCTCATCTTGTCCAACCTCCGTACTCAGGCAGGATCATCATAGAGCACATGGCACAGGATTGCATGCAGACAGTTTTTAAATATTTCCAGTGAAGGAGACTTTCTGGGCAACCTGTTCCTGTGTGCGGTCACTCGCATAGTAAAGAAGATCTTCCTCATGTTCAGGTGGAACTTCCTCTTGTCCTATTGCTTGGCACCACTAAGAAAAGACTGGCTCCGTTCTCGCTTCTGAGTCTCCTTCTGTGCTTGGTCAACAGCCTGTGAATTTGTTAATTGTACTTGTTATTGCTTGGCTGCTTATATGAATTAAGCAGTGTTCTAAGAGCACCTAAATTGCGTGTTTAGTGCTAGAAGCTGAAACTGACAACTCTGGATGGCCTTCGCCTGATTTTTATAGAGACTACCTTATTACTTGTTTGGAGGATGATTCCAAGTAGCTTTTATTGGCAAGCCTCAATGACTTTTTTTTTTTATTTTTAAATTTTCTGCTTTTCTTTTGTAATGCAGAGTGCATTACCCAATTTTGGGACATGCTGTCCATCCTGGCAGTTAGATTTATGAGTCCTTTCATGACTTCTGTTTTGTTAGGCAAGTTCTGGTTTATATCACCTGGACTCCAAAGTGGAAAGAAGATGGTGTTTAAAGATAGATAGATACAGTACGCTTGCTGTTGAAGTTAGATGTAATATAATAGCAGCGTTTAGGTGCTTAGCAGCTGATGACTTGCATTATGTTGCGAGAAGCAACCTAGTCTCCTTTTAAAGCACAGCTTCAGTCTGGGAGAGGATTCACAGCATGGAGATGAGTGGTGAGTGAATTATTCAGGGTTGCACAGCAGGTCAGAGTCAGAGCAGGGTGTGAGAAGCAGCCTAATAGTGCTGGGAAGATAAGCCTTTGAACAGTTTTTTTCCCTAGAGGCCACACTACTGTTCTTTGATTTTCGGTAAGTTTTCATTTCAATAGGGTTAAGATTTAACCCATCATATTTACAAAAGAGACTTTATTATTTAGTTCTGAAGTGCCTGCCACTATTTTGGTTCCCACCTAGTTGATTCACTGGAATTTGATCTCTGTTAGAGTGGCAATGACATTATTCATACTCTGCTTGTTCGTAATCTCTAAATTCCCAAAGGACACTTTTTTAAGTGGTACCAGCAGGCTGACAGTTCGCAGCTTCCAAAGTATTTGTGAGTTTAATTATTCCAGCTCAAGCTGGTGGCTTTCTCACAATAACACAAGAATTTCCAGCTCTGCTAGCAATCTCAGCCTGTTCCAAGAAAGAACTCTTCCTTTCATTGTCTTTATCCTTAGCACATGAACTGCACAGAAAAACTAGAGGTTTCTGCTCATGAACTGAAGAGAGTTTTGCACAATTTGGAGAATAGTGCAAAGAAAGTTTGGAATGGTTCCTTTCTCTCCACTACCCCTCAGAGTTCAGCTTTTGCTCTTTCTTCCCATTCTCTTTTGTGGATACGAGGTCTGGAAAGGGGCAGAAAGGATCTCTCTTTGAAGCAGATGGGCAGAAAAAAGTTTCTTCAGACACCTTTTTCTTTCAGCTCAGCAAAGGTGTGCAAGATGTTGTTCGGAATCTGTAGACTGAAAAAATATTGTTGTTAAAATAGTTGTAATGAAAGCAAATACAAACAGTAGTCATAAAGTTAAATTTACGGACTTTTGAACATAGCATTTCTGCGCATGTAAGTATAATTGCATGTTGCAGTATGGTAGTAACGTCACTCAAAATTCAGCTATAAAATTTATTGCACAGTATTATTTTTAACATTTTTTCTGGTAAGTGTGGTCTCTAGACTGTCTGCGCTTTCTTAACCACTTGCAAAAACTCATAAATCATAGAATAGTCTGAGTTGGAAGGGACCTTAAAGATCATCTCGTTCCAACCCCCCATGTGCAGGGATAGCTTCCACTGGACCAGATTGCTCAGACCTCCATCCAACCTGGCCTTAGACATTTCCAGGGATGGGGCATCCAGAACTTCTCTGGGCAACCTGTTCCAATGTTCTTCCCAGTATTTCATCTAAACCTGCTCTCTTTCAGTTTATAACCATTCCCCCTTGTCCTGTCACTTCATGCTCTTACTCTTCAGATCCTGAAAGGCCTCAATTAGGTGACCCCTAGGCCTTCTCTTGTCCAGGCTGAACAGACCAAATTTTCTTAGCCTTTCCTCACAGTGGAATTTCTTCATCCCTCTATTCAACTTAGTGGGCCTTCTCAAGATTCTCTCCAACGGGTCCATGTCCTTTTTGTACTGGGAACCCCAGAGATGGATGCAGCACTTCGACTGGAGTCTCACCAGAGCAGAGGGCAAAATCACCTCCCTCAACCTGCTGGCCATACTGCTTTGGATGTAGCCCAGGACACAGTTGTCCTTCTGGGCTGCAAGTACACATTCCTGGCTCGTTTCTTTCCGGAAGCTTTCTGGAAGTGGAAATGAGGACAGGTGGCCTGGGAGGAATACAGGGAAATTTTATGGGAAGCTAGGGGCAAGGTTAGGGAAGCCAAGGCCCGTTAGAATTGAGACTGGCCAAGGCTATTAAGGACAACAGGGAGGGCTTCTATAGATATGCTGCAAGCAAAAATAAAACTAGGGATTATGTGGGCCCTCTCTGGAAAAAACAGGAGACCTGGTTACCCTGGACAAAGAGAAGGCTGAGGTTCTCAAGAACTTGTATGCCTCAGTCTTCAATGGCAAGTCCTCCAGCCATGCTGCCCAAGTCAAGAAAGGCAAATGCAGGGAAGAATGAAGACCCTAAGCCCACCGTAGGAGAGAATCAGGTTCAAGACCATCTAAGGAACCTGAATATGAACAAGTCCATGGGAACCCATGAAATTCATCCATGGACCTAGAGGGAGCTGGCAGATGAAGCTCATTTTTGGAAAATCATGGCAATCAGTTGAAGCCCCTAATGACTGGAAAAAGGGAAATATAACCCCTATCTTTAAAAGGGGGAAAGCGGAAGACCTGGGGAACTACAGAGCTGTCAGTCTCACTTTTGTGCCAGGCAGAGAAGTTTGTTTGGAGACTTCATAGCAGCCTTCCAGTATCTGAAGGGGTCCTACAGGAAACCTGGAGAGGGATTCTTCAGCAGGAACTGTAGTGATAGGACAAGGAATAACAGATACAAATTAAAAGAGGATAAATTTAGGTTGGATATTAGGAAGAAATTCTTCACTGTGAGAGGGATGAGACACTGGAACAGGTTACCCAGGGAAGCTGTGGATGCCCCAGCCCTGGCAGAGTTCAATGCCAGGTTGGATAAGGCAACCTTGAGCAACCTGGTCTAGTGGGAGCTGTCCCTTCCCATGGCAGGGTGTTGGGGACTAGGTGATATTTAAGGTCCGTTCCAAACCCTTTACATTTTATGGTTCTATGTCTAGCCTCTCATCTTAACCCACCACCCCGAAGTCCTTCTCAGCAGGGCTGCTCTCAATCTGCCTGTATTGATACTGGGGGTTGCCCTGACCCAGGTGCAGCACCTTACACTTGGTCTTGTTAAAATGCCTGAGATTCCCATGGACCTGCTTCTTGACCTTGTCCAGGTCCCTCTGGATGGCATCCTATCCTTCAGGTGTGACAACCATACTGTTCAACTTGGTGTCACCTGCAAATTTGCTGAGGGTGCACTCAGTCCCTTATTCTATGTCATTAATGATGATGTTAAATCACACTGGTCCCAGTACACACCCCTGAGGGACACTACTTGTCACTGATGTCGAATCAGACCAGGCAAGAACTGTTGACACAGTTGACTGTCTTTATAAATGATGACGCATTATATCTAGTATGTTGTAAACCATCTTATTCATAGATTGTATCAAATGTGTATGTGTATGTTACTGGACTTGGAAATTAATTCTAAAACCCAAGCTTTTTCCTCACAGATTCTTTGAGAACTGCTGTGTGATTTTTTTTGTGTGTGGTTTTTTTTTTTGTGTGTGTGTGTATTTAATTTTATCATTCTACAGAATGATAAATGTTTCAAGGAAATAATAAGGAATTGAATCGTATCCTGAACTAAGATTAGAATACAGAAATACAATACTGTGGAAATAATTTTTTCTGGGGTCTGCTAGGTAACAAGTATTCAGTGCTAACGTGAAAGTCTAAGTAATCACAATAAAAACAACTAAATAGCAGTCTTTTTTTTTTTTTTCCCCCAGAAGTTCTGTATTGCTTTTAATCATTCTGGGGTATTATTATTATTATTATTATTATTATTATTATTATTATTATTATTATTATTATTATTATTATTATTATTATTATTGTGGTTTTAAATTGATCAGTGACTGTAGGTGCTGTGCTATCACTTTTAGCAACATCCTCAGGTCACTAAGAGTTCTCTCCCAGAGGAATTAAATGGATAGAATTTTAAAGATTACTTGCACCACTGTTACCAAGCTAGCTGACTCCTCTGCACTTGCTGAGTCAAGTCAGTATTTCCCCTCTTGCTGCTGGTGTGAAGGTGTTGGTTCATCACAGTTAGAGATTATTGCTTGGAAGATATAGCCTAATATCATAAACTCAAGACATGATTGGGATTTTTTTTTTTTATTTCACTTGGTTTTTTACAAGCACTTTCTTGGGAACTGAAAATGGAATTTTCTGGCTTTGTTGATGCTTCATTCGTTATCCCTCATTAATATCTGGCAAATATGGCAGTGTTTGGTTTGAAGTGTACATTATTTGACCTTGTTCATTTTTCATGAACAAATGTGTGTGGTTTCTTAACTAGTCATTAGTATTGATCAAAGCAATTAAGGCTGTCTGAGAAGTTGTTCTCAGTAGTCATTGTGCCCCAACTCTACTCAGTCCTATGACAACTTTTATTACTTGGCTTCTAAATGGTACCATCTTCTTCACAGAAACTGGCGTTTTTTTGGCATTTATTCAGCATGTAGAATAGTGGATCACAATTTACATGATATTATGAATGACACTAAATTCAAATCCAAGTGTGTAGGAACAATAATATCCTATCCTATA